TATCTTTGTAAAAAGTTCCAAACCAAATTTCTCTGCACCCTCTGTTATGCTTAGAAATGCTTGCCGATTTGTACGCAGTATTGTGCTTGTATCATCTAATTTACGGCATATTTCACTGGCAGTTAGGTGGATTAAGAGGCAAACGGTGATGGGCAGGAGCAGGTAAATAGCTGTAAAAGTTGAAAGGAAATGTGTTTTATTAAATTATGTAGTAGTTACGGGATAGATTGTATTGTTTTAAAAAAATACTCATTTTAAATGCTATTTCTAATATTTCAATACTATTTGCCAAAGGATATGAATAACCTCAACCTCAACTGGCTTCATACATGGTACATATGTATGTATATAAATATATCAACGAAAACTACGCAAATTTGAAAAACAGGAGATAAATATGCAGATCGGGATTCAAATTGAAAATTCGTTAAGCATGCTAAAACCTATAGGTATTTGTTTAACTTGTTTTCATTTTCATTGTTTCATATTCATTTTTTAAATTTGCATTTTTTTATTTCAGCATATAACCAAAAAAAAAAAAACATTTCTCAACATTTTACATTCACAAACAACTCCATCCACCATCATATTCAATTACCAATCGTTCGCATTTAACCCCAAATAAACAAAGAAGTTAGAATTTTGAAAATCTGTAACTGAAACATGCGACAACAATCTACAGAGCTTCCAGTTGCGATACATACTACATATGTATGTAAGTACATTTATTTTATGTATGTAGCTAGTTCAGAAAAATATTGTTAAAATACGCACGGTGAATACCCTTTTTTATCTCTGATAACTCGCTAATTGCTTGAGTTCTTGGTTGTCTGACCCCATAGCAGAATAAACAAAACGAAAGCATCGGGGTTTTCCAATTTACAGAGATTTAAGCACACAACTGACGTAAATTGTGTGTATTTTTAACAATAGGGAGAGAATATCGAACAAAATATGAGTATGGACATACATATGTAGATACATATACATTAGGGTGGTATGAAATTCACGAAAAATGGCTCTGCTGATGGCACGGCGCTCTTTTTCATTTTGCTCTTCGAGAAGAACAAAATTCATGTTTTTCCAAGCGTGCAATAAAATTTTAACTTTTTTTAAATACTTACTTACATTTTATTTCTTTACAAGTTTTGTAATTTTAAATCAATAAAGCCTTGAAGAATATTTCTAAACTGATCACCCTAATGCTATTTCTGTATGCATGAATATGCGGAAGTGCATGTTAGCAAGTGTATTCGAGTAAATACTGCTCCGCTCACTTGCTATATGGAGGCAGGTAGAAAAAAGTCATGGAGAAAGTTGATAAAAAAAAACCTGTTGGGCTTAGAGAGGGAAAACTAAAAGTCACAAATACCAAATTTCACATAATTTACTTGTGTGTAATTAAAAGGGAATATTTACACCTATGTAATTTTAAAGTATAATTTTTGTTTCTGAGTGTGGAAAGCGGGAAACAAAAATTAAACAAAATTTCATCACACCTAATGACTGGGCCCACATTTTTTGTGAGTTTTGGACGTTATAGTGATCCCATCCTCCCCATATTTTATATATAGGGTTTTCTAATGAAAGAGAGAATACAAACTAAATTTCATCGAAATCGGATGAAATTTAATGTTTCCGCCCAAAAGAGTGGAGGGCGTGGTAATTATTGCATATTTATAAAATTCCATAATTCCATATTTCTAAGTAAAATTAGAGCACATGTCAAGTTTCAGAGAAATCGGTGGATGTTTTCTAATATTTCTACGTGCCTCCATATAGTCGAAACACTGTGCGGCGCCTTGGCATGCTAGAGTATATATATTATGTTTGTTTTTTTAATTGAATGTATGCATGTACATTAGAGTGCTCCAAGTTTTGTATTTTTTTTATTGGGATTTGATTCGTCGGACCAATAAAAAATTAAACTTATTTGTGATTTGATTTGGATTGGAAAAAACTCGAAAATCGTGTTTCCCTTGCATAAAAGAAATTTTTTTTTTTTTAAATTAACGAATCAATTTGATTTGCTTTGACGAATCATATCACAGAAAAATTAAATTTTGTGTTTGGTCGAGGAATAAAATTTATTCATGATTTGATTATTCAAATCCTTACTAATATCTGAAAGAGAGTTTGTTTGTTTGCTACGCTTTCACGCTTTAACTACTCAACCGACCATCATGAAATTTTGTACACTCCTGTCACTTAGCCCAACTTAAAATATAGGATACATTTAATCTCGATTAGACAAGGGGGCGTGGCACCTCCCATACAAACGGAATTTTTCATACTGCATTCCTTAGGAAATATTTTTGGAAGATTACTGGAACTTGGTATGGAGATATATAAAATCATTATCTACTCATGGATGAGGGCTGCCACCTTTAAAAAAAAATCAAATTCAACTTCAATTAAGAGGGTTCTTTATTTGAAAATTATAGATATTAAAAAATTGATGTTAAGAGCCTTAAAAAAGCTGTAGTTTTAATATATCTTGAAAAGGGTTGCCACCTGTTTAAAAATTCAAATTTAAATTAATTATACGCAAGCTATCTGAAGAATTAAAGTATGGTTGTCAAACGAAATATTGTTAAGAAACCTTTAGTTTGAAAGTTTTGAATAATATTTAAGTCTTTCACAAGGGTTGCCACATTTTTTAAATTAAATTCAATTATGCAATATGTATGAGTGTCACAGGAAACAGGTTTAAAAATGTTGCCAACTGTTTAAAAGGTTAAATTCAAACTATTAATAATTTATTAATTTAAATGAATTATTATGAATTATTACAATATGGGTATCAAAACTACATGTTAGGGGTCTCCATCTATTTAAAATCTCAAATTGAGTTCAGGGGATAGATTAATTGAAAAAGTATGATAAGTGAGAAAGAAAGTTTTATGTAGTTTGAAATTATTTTGAAGATGGTTAAACAAATTTTAAACCTCCTTTTTTTTAATTGAGTTTTCTTGAAATAAATTTTACTCAATGTAGCACGTAGAAATTTCATAAACTCAGCGAAGCGGGTAAGGGCGATCTAGTAAATAATAAATTTATATTAGGGGCCTTCACACCGAGCTTTATATTCGGTGTTCGGTAAACACCCCGCACTACATTCTGTAATAACTCGTTCTCATTTCCGCCGATTTTATATATGTACAAAGAACAAAACGTCACACAAGCTGTTCGTAAGGCGATTCCAATTCCATAGCTTCATTCAAGGCGAGTTCATACAAGCTGATAGCGGCAGCACAAAAACAAAAAATTACACTAACAAATTATACGCACGATGACAATCAGAACACAAAAAATTTGCAACAAACACATCATTTTTACAATCACCACAATTCGCCTTGAAATCAGTGCACTAAAAAAAAAAAAAAAAAATCTTTTATTGGCTTATTGATGCATATAGCATAAGTAATATATGTATCTTATAGAACTACGAGAAAAAATTGATTGTAAATAAAAACAGCAGAATTTTAATGTGAAATGATTATAGTTTGTATAGTAAGTATGTATGTAACACGATTTTTCATATTAACGAAACAGTGCATAGTAAATCAAGGCTCACCTTTACGTAACAACATTCCGAAGCTTTTGCTGCCGATGAGTATTTTAGGAGTAGCGAAATTTTACAACGCGGTTAATTTTATTTTAACGGGTTCCTAGAGGAATAAATTTTCTTTGTTATAATTTAGTACACTTATTCAGCTTAGCACTGTTTATTCACTTTTGTATGGAAACAAAAAAAAAATGCATATATATATGTACATATATATATCAAAACATGACTTCCACAGCAACTCAATACAAAAACCGGACTGCAGTTTAATTGGCTAGTTCCTTGCTTTGTTTTTTTTGTTTTTTTTTTTTTTTTTGGTATATTCTCACGATAAGCTTTAGCTGCTAATTTCGTAGCTTTAATGCTGCTCAATAGGTGTTTATTTTTTGTTGTATGACTATATGCATATGTAATTA